AGCACGCCCAAGAGGAACCAACTTGAGAGGAGCAATAGCAGCATTAGCCACTGGTACAGGAGGCGGAAGATTATGCTTTGCCTGCACGATCTTTGAAAAGGAGGGCGGAGAGAGTGTCGCCCCAAATGATAGGTCCAAACCCTGCTCCTCTACAGGGCGATTGTCATGTCTAGCTTTCTTTGGTATGGACGAAACCCCTGACTGAGGCACCTCTACAGGGAGATTGTCGGGGTTAGACCTTTTGGTTACAGATGGCTCCCCTGTCTCTAGCACCGTTGTGACCTGGTTTTCAGGGGGAGTATCTTGCTCATCAGTATCCATCTGAGAAAAAAGAACCGGGGTGGAAACTGGCTCAGGCTCTGCACTGGATGCCTGGCTCACGTGACTAATGGGAGGGAAGTGAGACTGATCGAAGTCTATATCTCCGACATCCCCAAACAGTTCAGCTGTGTGACAGGAGGACACAGAGCCCTCGTTGTCCTCCTGTTGTCTTTTTAGCAAGGCAGGGTGCGGGACTGGCTCTGCCATAGGGTCAGCCCCCACTGGGTAGGGAGGCGGCACTATTTGATCCTTGATTGTGCATACATAAGGTCTGTCCTTTACGAGTCCACACTTGTTGCAACATCCCCGCAACTGGCTGCCAAGTGTGCCCCCAGAAGTTACAGTGGTGGCCTCTCGTGGGTTGCCCTCTATATGAAACAAAACACGCATAAGGGTCCAGGACTATTAGGTGCGGGTTGTGATGCGAAAGTTGTATAAATACCCTGCGATCACCCGTCTCCAGACCATCACCATCAATATTCCGTACGATTTTCTTCACTACTCCGTAATCACGGAGGAAGAGGCTGACATCCTCATCCTCCAGCTGACATGGTAGGTTGCGGATCGTCACTACATCACAGGTAGGGACAGCTTCTTGCAAGTGAAAGAAGTGCCCCTTCACGAACAGACCCCTGGTAATGAGGTTTTCTTTTGCTGCTCCACTATTTGCTGTATTTGGTTTAAAGGAAATCCTGAAGCAATTGCCATTTTGCGACACTTGGACACATTTGATTGTCTTGAAGTGAGGACCACAAGCTCTCTTGAGAGAGACAATCACATCATCTCTCGTGATGTTTGCCGACTTTCTTAGAGTCTCATGTATGCGCAGCTCAAGAGTTTCTTTCTGCTCAACTTTGAACATATTTGAAAATACACAAGTTTGAAAAGACAAAAAATGAAAATGAAAACAGGTGGGTTCTCACCAGACCACACCAAAAATATGACGAAAAAGAAAAAAGCCCAACGGGTATTGTCTCAATACCCCAAAAATTTAAACTTTATAACAACTTTTACAACAATACTTCAACAATAACTCAACTTTAAACTTACAATAAAACAACAATAAAATACAATAATAATTTATGATCCCACACGGGGAGAGAAAGGGTAAGTTTGAAACGTGGTCAAGCCCGAAGCGCTACGCTCCGGACACTGTTGGCCGTCCCACACGGAACGCCGAAAGCAAAAATGTAGAAACAAAAAATCACCGCGGTCAAGCCCGGTTTGAAAACTGGATGGGTGACCGAGTACAGTCACCCCACACTGTTGGCCGTCCCACACAGAACGCGGAAAGCAAAAATATAGAGGCAAAAAATCACCGCGGTCAAGCCCGGTTTAAAAGCTGGATGGGTGACCGAGTACACCCGTAAAGCCTAGAGTGCTACACTCTGGGCTGGATAGGCAACACAAATGTGGGCCTTCCGGAAAAAAAAATGAGACTCGGAGGGCTAAATCGGCGGAGGGCTAAATCGCCAACGGCAAACGAGTGATGTTTAAAAAGACACTTAACGGGTTTTAGGAATTGAGGGGCCAGCCCCAAAAAAGAAAAATAAGAAAAAAGGTCACTCGAGTCAAGCCCGGGGACAAAGGCTGGATGGGCGATGGCCCAAAAAGCAAAAAACAACGAAAAAGCCCGAAGGCGGAAGGCTGAATCGCCAACGGCCAACTGGCACTGTTTAAAAAGGACGGATACAAACACACAAAAAGTAAAGGATATGTAATAGGATACAAAAATCTTCTTCCCACACGTCAGACAACTTGTTCGTCGAACGAATTTTTGGCACAGGAAGAACAAACCAGCAACAATCTGGCGATACTTGACCAGGCACCTAAGGAAATCGTCAGGTAAGTTTTTTATTTTAAGGGTGGAAACTCTCAACGGAGAATCCAAAGCACAAGATAACCAATATTCAACGGAAACCAGACAATTAATCCAATGAGACATGACCAAGACATGCAACCTTCGCTGTAAAAAACTTTACCTCAAGAGGGCTGGAAAATTACTTGACAATCCAAAATGAAACTTTTTATTGTTATATATTGTCGTTAGTAGAAAGATAACAAGCCGAATTCAGAAAGATTACTTAACAATCCAAACTTTTTATTGCTATATATTCCATTAATAGAAAGATTACCAGCAGAATTGAAGGTGAACCCAGTGTCCACCAGAAAGAAGGACTGGATTAGCCTAATGAGGCTTCAAAACCGTGGTCAAATGCCCCTCCGGGATTACCCAGCGCCTGTGAAATATGCGCTGTCTGGATTCCGATCTAAATCGTTTAGAAAAGATGGCTACAAAGAAATTTAAACGCCGCTTGATTGACAACAAGGTGGTCTCAGGGTCAGGCTCAACCTGCCTAAAACGAAAGTCATTCCTGGCCAACCATATAAAAAAATGTTGCTACGTTGATAATGTATTGAAAAATTGGTGGAACAATCTCACACTCCTCTGGGCTAAAACCAAAGAGTAACTGACGCACAGAAAACCGTGGCCAAAGCGGGTTAAAAGACAAAAAGACCCGGCGCAGTTCAGAGAACATGAGAACATGCTGTGCAAAAAGACATTCGTAAAAAAGGTAACTTGCAGTTTCCAGGCAGCCACAAAAGCATTCTGGAGTACACCATGCGCAATTTTCCAATTTAAGTAGATGACGGGCCTGTCCAGAGGCATAATGTTGACTGACTTCCAGACAGACTTCCAAAACTAGGGGGCCAACACAGTGAGGCCGCTCTTCTTTTGACTCACACAAGATGTTATAACAGATTTTAGTTGTGCACATAGCAATGGTCCTTTTCTCGCCAGAAGAATCGTCAGGGAGGAAAGCCTGACCGCGAACAACCGTTCCGGCCACAAGACTGAAGAATCGACGCAAAAATACCAGGAAGAAATTCAAAAGAATAATAAGCAGGGAATTCGAGCACTTCACCAGCCTGAACACCCAAGGATCTCTTAATAAAAAAGTTAAAGAAAGACAACCACTTATTTGGGGTTAGGAAAAACCTTTTCACCCACTTAATGTGGAGAGCCATGACCTTTGCTTCCACATCCACCACCGAAAAGCCGCCTTTAGATTTATCAAGATACATAGTCCGTCTGGACACTAAATCGCGTTTACCAGACCAAATTAACTTAAAAATGGATGGAATTAATTCTCTTTAAGATAGAGTTGTTGGTGGGCAGGACCGAGCCCACGTACCACAGGCCAGACAAGCCGAGCATATTGGCCACGACAATCCTTTGAAAGACAGACATCTCTGCTGCCAGAGATCAAACACATTGGACAGTGAGGCAATTCTTGCATTCCAGTTGTCCTCCAGAGAGACTTCAGGACCGATCACCACACCTAGGCAGGGTAGCGTGGTCGAAGATCAGAAAAGCTTGATCGGTTTATCAAGACGACCAGACCAGCTCCCCAACCATAGGCCCTTCGACTTCCCCTCGTTCAACTTAGAGTCAGAAGCCCTCTCATACAGGGCATAGATATCCAGAACAGCTTGGAAAGAGATCTCATTAATCACACACAGTGTCGTGTCATCCGCATATTGGCAAATCCTGATTTGGGAACCAGACAACCGGTTAGCTCAGTTGGCAGAGCACCGGACTATTGTGCGGGAGGTCAGGGGTTCAACCCCTGGCCGGACCACCACTCAGGGTCTTAAAATAATTGAGGAGATGTTGCTGCCTTTGTTTCTCTATCTGCAAATGGTTAGATCATCACGTCTTCTCGGATAAGGACGTTAAACCGTAGGTCCCGTCTCCCTACAATTCTCTCTATATACTGTATCAGGGGGACGTAAAAGAACCACTGAGGACGTAACAAACCCTGGCCGTGACCACCCTCAGTGTCTGCCTCACTCTGTGGCCTCTGGCCCTTCTAGTATTAGCGAAAGCTACTTTAGAAGTATATATTCTAAGTTCTAAGGATAATAATATGTGGTATTTATATAGCGCCGATATCCTCTGAGTTCAAAGGTGCTTCACATGTATACATCATTTCACACGGACCGCTGTTTAAGGCGCAATTCGCAGCCACGCGGCTTACAATCATGAGGGGTTAGTTATTAGTATTGGTTAGTAGTAAGGCCTAGCCACACACACCGGGAATCATTCCCTACTCGTATGGGAACAGTGGTGTGGGTTCTTTAACGTCCCTCTAATACAGGTTAGTGATTGAAGTATAGAGAGACGGGACCTCCGATTTTACGTCGTTATCCGAGAGGACGAGAAGATCTTACCATGTGCAGATGGAGAAAGACAAAGGCAGCAACTTCTCCTCAATTATTTTAAGACTCTGAGTGTTGTTCCGGCCGGGGTTTGAACCTGCGACCTCTCGCACTAAAGTCCGATGCTCTACCTACTGAGCTAACCGGTCGGCGGTTTAGGATCGTTTAGGATCGTTAGGTAGGCAATGAATCCGGGAGCACTTCCTGACATTTGCTGCTAGAACTTCAGCACATAAAATGAAGAGTAAAGGTGACAGAGGGCTTCCTCGCTTGACACCCTGAGAGAGATTAAAAAGGGCGAGAGAAACCCGTTAATTTGGACAGAGGCCTGGGGATTGGCGTAAAAAGTCCTAACCCAGCAACAAAAGGATTGGCCAAAGCCCATGGTCTCAAGGGTGCGCTGGAGAAAGCCACAGTCTACACTATCAAAGGCTTTTTCTTGGTCCAGGGAGATCATGGCAGCAGAAGAGCCAGTCTGGTTTACATACATACAGATACTTTGGAGAAGCATCACTGCATCTCAAATGAAGCGCCCGGGAACATTAGCCACCTGGTCCGGAGATACTACTCCAGAGATCACTCCTAAAAGTCTACCGGCCATTGCCCTAGAGGCCACTTTGTAATCTACATTAAGTAAATATATATGGCGCCAGTTCTTGGGTTCTCTAAAGTCCCCCTTCTTGGGAACCAAAGTGATCACTCCTCTTCGTTGTGACGCTTAGAGGCACTGAGTCCGGTATCCATAGTTAAGAACTTCCACTAGATCCTGTCCAACCGTTTTCCAGAAAGTCTCCGCTGGTAGCCCATCAATGTCAGGTGTCTTGTTCTTCTTCATCCCATCCAGGGCAATAAAGCACTCTTCCGCTGAAAGGGGTCCCTCGCAAGAGGCCCTTTTCCCTACCAGAAGGCGATCTAATTGTCGGAGAAGGCGCAGCTGAATATCCACACCCACCGGATCAGCCGTAAAAAGCGATTCATAAAAAGTCTAGAAGGTGTCCCGGACCAACTGCGGGTTCGACACCTCCCCCATGGTGGGGTGTTTCACAGATGAAATAGTCGAGGCGAGATGGTTCTTCTACACGACTTCATAAAAAAGGATGAGGAGGTCTCACCTTCCTCTACCATCTTTGTTCGAGATCGAACTTGTTGGCCTCTGGCTTCGTGCGCGTCTAAATCTACCAATGGCCCGCTCCAGCTATAATCGATGCGCGCGGGGAATTATGGTAGTTGTGGTAGCATTTCCAAGATGGCGGTGTAAACAATACAAGTTGCCATTAGATGCGATGTCATTTTTCACTTTTTCACTTTTTTAGTGCAATTAACGACTTTAAGGTAAAGAGAACAATTGAATATGTGTTCCTTAAAGCTCGAAGACGAAGAAAATATCGAAAACACTGGATTTCTAGAAGAAAAAAACACAAGAAAAAGTCAGGCGGAGGGACTGCTTGTTGTGTACCGACTTGCAAAAACAGTACCAAACGTAACTCCAATTTGTCATTTCACAAATTCCCTAAGGCCAAAAAATTGCGATCAGAGTGGGTTCATTTGATAGGTAGAAAGGATTTCGTGCCTAATGAACACCATAGGGTGTGCTCTGAGCACTTTCCAGGTGGAAAGAAATCGTACATCAACAACGTACCAACCGTAACACCGAAGAAACTACAGCTGACCAAAAGCAAACCAAGAGCAACGTTTAAATGCCGAAATAGAATTCCGATTACACAACTAGCTGGTACAAACTGCACATCAACTAACTCTCAAGTAGAAGTTGATAGTAACAGTGAAAACAAACCTACAGTTGAAGACCTCGAACATCAAATTGCACGATTAGAAAATGAACTTCGTAGCATTAAAGAAGAACATGAAAGAGAAGTTTCTGATTTAAAAGTTCAGTTAAAGCAAGCAAAGCTTTCTTTGGATAGATTCAAGGAATCTGGCAGTGATATTGAATTCTACACGGGATTTTCAAATTATTCCAACTTTAAAGCATTTTTCAAATTTCTTTCCTCTGCATGTCTTAAGTCGCATTATATTGGCTCTAAAAATGGAGATCTCCAACCAGAACAACAAGAAAAACGAGGGAGAAAACGATCATTGAGTCCTGAAGAAGAATTATTTTTAGTGTTGTCTCGTCTACGTTGTGGACTTCTTGAAAGAGACCTTGCTAACAGATATGATATCAGTGTGTCACAGGTTAGTAGCATATGGATAACCTGGATAGATTTTCTACACAAGCGCCTACGATCTATTCCAATATGGCCTTCAAGATCTTTAGTTGACTCAAAAATGGCACCAGGTTTAAAGGAGCATCACCCTAAAACACGAGTTATCATCGACTGCACTGAGATTTTCATTGAAAAACCATCCTCTCCATCTACTCAAAGTGCCACATTTTCTACATACAAGCATCCTAATACTGCCAAAGGACGTATTGGAATCTCACCTGCAGGCACCCTTTCCTTTGCTTCAGAACTTTATGCTGGTAGAACATCTGATATAGAACTGACTAATGATTGTGGAATACTTACGTTGTTAGACACAGAAGATGAGATAATGGCTGACAAAGGGTTCAATATAGAAGAAGATTTACCTGAGAGAATTTCACTGAATATCCCACCTTTTCTACATGGTGAGCAGCTTAGCCATGAAGAAGAGGTAAGGACCAGACGGATTGCCAAAGAAAGAATTCACGTTGAAAGACTCATTGAAAAAGCTTCTGAGAAAAATAATAATAATAATGAATAAGGTTATATTGTTTAATGAATACATGGATTGAATAACTTTACTGATATCTTAACAAGTAGCTGTTTTATAGCTGAATCCAGATTGTAATTATCAATTAGACAATGATACTTAAATTTCACAAGAAATTTCATATACTGTATTTTTACAGTTTTTGAATGGTTGATTATTCAACAATACATAATTAATATATAATTTTACAAGAAAATATATTTTTCTTACATAACTTTATTTGCAAATAATTCACAAAAAATTTCATATTAAATATTATTCAATTTTTGAATGTTTGATAAAATTCAACAATATGTTTTTACAAGCATTTTTTACATAACTTATTGCTTAAATAATTCACAATAATTTTTTTGGAATGGTAATAATTCAGCAATATATTTATATATAATATTAATATTATTTACAGCCTTTTGCAAAAATTATGAGAATTGTCGAAATATCTAAATATCATAATATCCATCCATATATTGTCCAAAACACGCGGGTTTGCTAGATTCATTGTTGACATCGAGAAAATATTCAGAACTACGGATAAGTCCGTTGCCAAAAAAAACTAAACAACAAAGACAAGGGACTAAGGGCATCGCGCGGGATCATGCACTTGATAGTATGATATTTAGATATTTCAACAATTCTCATAATTTTTGCAAAAGGCTGTATTATATATAATATTACATAAAAACAATTGAATTTGTCAATGCATGTACATTATCATAGTGCCTTATAAAACTAATATAATGTATTTTTTCATGGTCTATGAAATGCAATTATTTTAGTGCATGCACTGCAAATCCATGAAACAAAAATAAATTGATCATTATAGGGCAGCTGGTGCTTACAGCATGCCTTATTTTGGAATAATATTTTAATAGATAAGAACACAACCTTCGCTTCATGGATTCCATTGTGTAAATGCATGTTGAATTGCTCTGTAATCAAACAGTTTCAAGGTCTTGGCAAGCCTCATTGATGGTCATATTGATTTTTGATGAAGGACACTTGATTTCAACTGCACCATAGGGTGAAGACTCATTCAATGTATATACTAATGCATCAGGGCTTGCCCCCAACCACGGCCAATTTGGATTTACCACCAAGCCAACACATTCACAGACTTCAACTTGGTCACCACATGACTCATAATATTGAATAAGTACAACTTGCTCGTTGTCTTTACCCCATTTGCAACTTACAGGAACTCTTGCATTTGCATGGTTAGATTTAATTTTTTTAAGATGGTTTTTCGATGTATGGACTCCCTCCTGTTCATAACTGCACCAAAATTTGAAGCTGTTATTCTCTTCTTTCTATATATGCTGAACCCATTCTGGGCAATCAGCCTGACCTCGAGTATTTCTCTGTATTTACAGACAATCATGTATGCTAACTTTTACTTTGTTATTGGTTATCAGTTGAAGTTGTTCAGATGAAAGTACAATTAAGGGGTCAGCATGTTCATGAAGATTTTCCAACACATTCTTTCTTACACTCTCTGTTAAAATTACGAATTATTATTATTTTTTTTGAATAAGTTTTTGCCTGGAAGGGATGTTCTGTGTGTATTTTTTATAGTCAAATGGCTTGCAAGCGTGGTCATCAAGTAAATATGCTAACATTCTCCCCCCTCGTGGGAAGAATCCCCTCATCTCTATAATTCCTTGGAATGCGCAGACTAACTGAGAGAGGTCTCTCTACGCTGTAGGAGGCCGAAACGACCATCCTTACAAGAAAAAATAGCAGCTACACGCTGAATTGCAATAAAAAAAAAAGACTTCAGAAGCAGAAAACTAAAGGGGAGCCCCCTTACCGGGGCTCAAAAAACTTTAACTTAAAGGCTTGAAGACAAAAAGCCTTCAGAAAACTATAGAAGAGCTCCCTTACCGGAGCTCAAAAAACAAAATAGGCTTTTAACACAACTCACAACTCGATAACTTGAATACTCAAAACAATTAACTATCAAAACCTTTAGCAGTGCCACAGAAAAAATTAATGAGAAGCGAAAAACCTATACACAGCAGAAAAACCTTTAATAAAGTGTAAATATGCAAAAAACGGGAAAATCCAAAAACGAGAAAAATATACTAACGAGAAAAAAGGACAAAAATGAAAAACCCAAAAAACCAAAAAATGAAAAAAAAAAGAACACAAAAGTCAAGCAAAAAAGAAACAGAATAAGCAGAAAAGAAACTTATACACAGGGAAAATGTTCAAAATCCCAATTTGGGGAAAAAATGGGTGATTATTGGAATAATTATGGGTTTTCCTTGGGAATTTCCCAATATTGGGAAAATGCTACCAAAACCAATCTGTGGTCCAAATATTCCCAGTGAAATCCCAGCGATGGGAATTAATGGTCCCAATTTGAAAGTAAACCGGGTTTTAGTGTGGTCAAAATATTCCCAGTGAAATCCCAGTGATGGGAATTAATGGTCCCAATGTGAATGTAAACTGGGTTTTTGTGTGGTGAAAATATTCCCAATGAAATCCCAGCGATGGGAATTAATGGTCCCAATGTCAAAGTAAACTGGGTTTTTGTGTAGTCAAAATATTCCCAATGAAATCCCAGTGATGGGAATTAATGGTCCCAATGTGAATGTAAACTGGGTTTTTGTGTGGTGAAAATATTCCCAATGAAATCCCAGCGATGGGAATTAATGGTCCCAATGTCAAAGTAAACTGGGTTTTTGTGT